TTTTTTTTCCCTTTTTTTTTTTTTTTTTTTTTTTTTTTTTTTATAAAATTGCTCCCACACATCGTTCGAGTAAATTATCACGACCCCACCCCACTCCCAGAAGTAATCTAACTCCCTCCACTTATTTCTCCTGCGCCATTACCGAGGGTGTTGCTGATATCTAAATTAAGCAAACGTGCAGAAGATAAGTGGATAATTAGTGACCCTAATTAGCAAACAAGTAGCGAACGCGGTAACGAGCCCACCTAAACTATAGGCATTACCCTTTATATTTCGTGTATAACTTACGCAAATTTGTATCTATATAGAGAAAAAAAGCACAACGAATTGAAGATGAGAATGGAAAAAAAATATTTTTCATACAAAAATACATAATCACGTAGCATGAAATTTTCTCGCGTGTAATTTTCTCGAATGAAATTTTCTTGTAGAAATAATGTCAAATGACTTCTTCGTGTTGTGCAGTATGTAAATGACTATGTTGCAAATGACATTTTCTTCCTCGGATGAAAGGTAGTCGACACTAATTTTTTTACCCGCATAAATACGAATAACGGACAGGTCGTTTCACTCGCAGCGTCCTTCGAGAAAAATGTGATATTAACATAGCTAAATATAAGAGAATAAGTGGCTCACTGTTAAACCAGCAATTGGTCACGCCAAATTCTGGTCTTATCAAGTATTCTGGTATATTGGGAGTAAGATCCATGATAAGGCATACTCCGGTCAGTACAGAAGCGCATCCCCAGGCGTATATGGAATACATGAAAAATTTCTTGCGGTCTCGCTGTTTAACGCTACCATGTAGCGAACGGAATCCTCTGTAACAAATATACAATTATTCACATTATTATCATTTAACAGAGACCATTGATATTGATACCGTGATAATGGATACGGTGTATTTCGAATATCTACTGCACTGTGCGGCGTTTAAATAATACTTGCAACAGCTACAGGCTTTACTGGATGCTGTTAACCTGGAAGTGGTCGCGCGATTGTTTCACCATTTAAAAAGCATTGAGTCGAGATACCTCAAATACCCCGCGCGGCTACTTCCGGGTTAACCTCTATAACGGCGCAGTTAAAAATTGTTTTCACCATATTTCGATATATTTCAACCATACATAGTTTATATGAATAAGTAAGTAAAATCTGGCAATCCGTTCCGCGCATATATAAAGGCTGTCTAGAAATGACAAAATATTGTACAAATCATATGAAAATGACATATATAAGAAATTCTGTGAAAAATATAAAAATAGTCGGGGTGTCATCTTATGCTCTACACTACAGTACGTGCAGGATAATACGGTTCTCGCGTGACTCATAAGTTCTAATCATCATAGTGATTCGTCCCTACGTGCATTTCATTTAATATACAGGAGCGTGATGGAAGGATAAACAGTGATCATCATAATTATTTTTTGTCTTCTTCTAATTTTTTTTCTCCCACAACCACTCACCCTTGATTTCGGGCGACTGACTGCACAGGTCGCAAGCTTGCAAGCAGACATACCTTTTATAGAGAGTCACGTATATACGTAATTCATGAACATTAAGAATTCACGAGACGGAATAATAAATGATAATGAAAATTATAACAGAAACGCAATAACAAAAAATTTGAGAACCACTGAGGTGACTATTCACTTATGAGATGACATATTGTGTAGAGGCATACGTAGACGGAATGGGAATTACACGTGTAAATTGAATTCCCAGAAGTAGAAAAAAAAATTATGAATTAAAAGGAATGAAAAAAAGAGATTCATATAAAATCCGAATTTTTCTTTTTAACTCTCGTACTTATTTATACGGCAAAGATTAGACTTATCTGTATCGTTCTTATAAACAGTATAATATGGATGAATTCAGATCCACCCGTTATATCGAGGATATACATCCAATTAAATAGTCACTTATTGCGGATATTATTTGCTTTTAACAATAAGCAATTAGTGTGAATCACTATTTTCGTGACACCCAGTGTATATATAGAAATGTATATATATGACTATTGAATAATAATATATCAATCAGATAAGTATATGCAGCACCATCTTATATAAGAATCTTAAAAAAGCTGTACAATGGACCATTACAATGATTTCGTATATACCGCGTTATTCAGCCGAAACGTAACTATCTGAAGTTAGCGCGCCCATGTGATCATAGTGAAAACCATGTTCAGATGGTAGCTTTGTGCTGGATAAATAGGCATGTAACAGGTGGTACGAAAAACCGGTTTATTATTTCTGTCAGATCTTTTATGCATTTGCCATGTGAGTATCAATAAACATATATACATGGGTACAGGCAATACGTATAAATAATGCCTTTGGGTATATCCCATTGTAATATTCCTGGCGATGTTTCGCCCGAAGATACCGAGTCTCGATTGGTACAATAGGTTTTCGAAAAATTGGCTCTCTCTTTCCCATACGTCATAGCAATCACAAAATGCTTTGTTCCACGTTGCAAAAAGTAAAATCTCCGGGTTATTTGGAAAGCTATACATACAATAGCTATAATTCGCTAACGCATATAATGTAAAAGCGAAAAGTAATGAAGCTAGCGAGAACAACGTAGTACACGCAGGTCACGCAGAGGAGTCAGGAGAGCGATTATAGAATAACGTGTCATTTGAAGTTTTCTTTTAATCACAAGATGTGAATGTACTGAATATACTGTACAGTCAAGGAAAAGGTGAAAGGCGAAATTTTATATCTGGTATTTCTTTTTCTTTCGCATCACTCGTAGAGAATAGTATAACCTAGGGGACTTTGTTAGATTAAAAGCCATAAGAAGATGGCCCCTGCGAAAGAGATTTTACTGAAATACATGGAGAAATCCAACCAATATCTAACTTAAAGTTAATTTTCTTTTCTGTGGGTAATTATTTTGATGATACACGTATTATCGGGTATTCCGTATTGTTGTCAATGATACGTTACTTAAAACGTCTGTAAAACGTAGCAGGTAAGTATAAATGTTCTAGCAAGTATAGCAAACTCTATTTTGTTTCGGAGCGTCTGTCGAGTGTCAATATCGGCTAAGCAAGTGATAAGTTTCTCTCGGAGCGAACCGGATAAACGACTGTCAACAATAGTGTCGTGTAAATTTCCCGTTGGGGAACGCAACGCCCTATGTGTGCCTGGCAAATGAAATAATCCAGTGTATTAAGGTGTGACCTACACTAGGGAGTTTGTCAGAATAAAGGGGAAGAAATTATTGATTAACCAACATCAAAACTATATCATTCCAACTCGCATCGGATATCACTGATAAGGATGATGTCTAATTGAAATTTCGAAATTGAATGAATTCCTGACGAAATCAAGTTAGCGAATAAAAAAGGACGAAAAATAAAGTGTGACAAGTTCAGATGTAAAAGTGTTCGGGAAATTGTTATTATTATTAGTTATCTCTGATTGCATTATCATTGGTCGAGGTACCAGTATCAATTACCCTGTTACGTCATCTAATGCAACTTCAAACCATGTAAGTAATACGTGTCAACGTACATTCAACCGAACCACAATTTTTTATTATCCGATTAGAATTTTTTTTTCTGTTTCTTTTTTTTCGCTCAACTTCGTATAGTTACCATGAATCTATCTACGCACGGCAAAAGGCGCATCTGTATTCCTGCGATACGTTCGCCTTTGCGTTTACGATTATGATTTAGCATGTACGACCTCAGTTGCGACACGCGACATTTTCACGTTGGTATTTATATTTGCAAGGCTTGACAGTTTATCGTGTCTAAAGGGGGGGAATAAAGCAAACGTGACGAACGTGCTGGGGAAAAAAAGAAAGATGACAGCCGAAGTATGGTAAAACTCGACACGTGGTTCTCAGCTCTCGCCACTCGGTGACAGGCGGCCAATAACATTCTGACTTCAACTCAAAAGACTGCCTTGGATTGCGTCATCTATTTTTAGCCCGGAGAATCGAAAGACTTTTCTTTGAAAAACTGAAAATTATTCAATCGGCTTCAGCGTACTTCTCTCTACCCTCCCTCTCTCTCTCTCTCTCACGAAGAAAACTTTGCTCAAAGAAGAATTTGGTCTGTTTGACAGGAGCTTTGTTTTTTTCCTTTAAACAAACCTTTATTTTAGAATCCCCCGTGGTAACGCTGGCTATTCCGAATGTTCGTGCAAATGTAAAACGAAGCGTTTGCATCGCATCGAGCCATTTGACTTTTTTGATTTATGGGCTTATTGACGGACTGTCAATTTTTTGCACGTGGCTGCCCATATGTCCCAAACTCTATACGCATCCCCGTTGACGCCGAACTCTCTTTATTTTTTTTGCTTGTTTTAATTTTCACCTTTTCACTTGACCACCGATAAGATACGTCATTGACACATTTTCCCATATGCGGCCAATTAACGATAAGCCCTTAACAACCGATACAAATAATACAGTTGACCTTTGTCCAATGCCCGATCAGTGATTGAGTGTCAAATCGGCTAAGCTATCTCTTCGTTACATCATCAGGCGCGATCATGCATCAATCTCTTGTTGAATTTGAAGCGTGACTTCCGTTCGTCCATTTCTTTTCCTCTTAAATTCTCTACGAATCTCGTCACTCTATTGGACTCTCTTACACTTACCGATTTCATCGACAGTACGAAATTAGTTTCGCTAAAAGGATATTTCGTAGATATATATATATTCGTGTATAACACTCTAGTCACGTACCGGAAATTAATTCACACTCGCGTTTCTCTATCAATTCCTTCGAATATTTCCCAAGCGTGAAAATTCCAATAGCTACGGCATATCAAAGTCACATTTATACCTAAGAATTCGATAGTATTATTCAATTCCAATAATACGAATATTTATACACTCGATACGTAGCTAGAATATTACTTGGATCATTGAATTATGATATATCAAATTATTCAATCCAAACGTGCTACCCGAAGTTGGCGCGCCTGTTCGATTCCTATGGCAAAACCATGTTCAGGTGGTACTTTTCGACTGAGCCGGGTATACAAGTTTATTTACTGTATGTACTCCCTGAAGTGGTTCTACTATAGAAATCAAATGGACAGAGGCTAACTTCAAGTGGTACGATTGTCGTGAATAACCTTGTATACCACGTCACTCAATTCAAACGCATCACCTGAATATGGTTTTACCATAGGACTCAAATGGTTGCGTTAACTTCAGGTGGTGCGTTTCTACTGAATAGCCCTGTATATATCTATACATATACATGGAATCCTGTCAATTCCGGATATTAAAGCGAACAATTAATCAAACCATCGTTTCCCCAAGAGAATCCAATTAAATGAAAGTGCTCGAATGTGCTTAGCGTCTGAGGAAGATATAACCTAACCTACACGCTTAACCAATCGATTACTAAAGACGAAAGTCGCCCTAACAAACATTCCCGGTCATTTTTCGAATTGGCTAGAAAATTTTATTGCCACGTGTGATCGAGTGGGTTCTTTACGAGCGATAAAAGTAATATAAAATTTAACACTCACCCAAATGTCCACCATATGTCAAAGCACATGATATTCAGCCAGAAGAAGCTCGAGAGAAATGAAAAGTGCATGATGAAAGCTGAAATTTGTAAAAAAAAAATTAGATCAATATTGACTAAATTCTGAAAAATTATATATTCCAACAATTCATTAATCCTTCCATATTAGTCCAGATATAATAATGAAATTTATAGTTTTAGAAAATTTCAAAGTTACCTATACTTATACAAGCAAGATCATTAGCCGAAACAGCGTCGGAAGTTTTCATCACGGCAAGCAGTACGTAGCTAATGGTCAATGATCCAACATAACAGCACAATGTAAGTCCGTGCATATTTCTAAGTTCGGGAATAATAATGTATATGATAAAAGTCGCCAGAAGAAACGGGATCGAAATGGTTTCTCCGACAGGAATTGATCTACGTATCTCGACTTGCAGTTCTTCGTCGAAGCAAGCCATCATATGATATTCCACGTCGTAGGTCGAATTGACTACAGCGAAACAGTAGGAATCATTGTTTTTTATTGTTGACGTCATTAGCTGTAATGCCGAACCATTTGGAAAAATTTCATATCTCTCGTCCTCGTTATCGCGAGGGCTTAATTGATATTTGCCACGGCCGTTACACGGATCGTTGAAGCAAAAGTGAAAGTTATTCCGAATCTCTTTGAGTTTCTCGAATAGGAAGGAATCAAAGATATCCGGTAAAGCGGATACAACACTTTCTTTATAATTGATGCACCCTCTTCTCGACAAGATCATATTTAATGGACAACATAGAGTGATGCAAGGCATAAATTGACACGGGCAGCCAAGAAGATGGCCACTGGGTTCCGGCGATGCATCCGAAGAATTAACGAGTCTTTCAGAGAATTTTGAAACGTTATTGAATTTTTCATCAAAATTTATTTCCGCCGCCTTGACTTTTTCAAAAAATTCATTTTTCGTGCCATTCTTTTCCTGGGACGCGTCGAGGCTTTTTGAGTTTTTCCCACTATTTTCCACATCTCTCGTACTGCCGGTAATGTCAGGAGGTGTTAAATGTATTTTTTCACTTTTGGACTTAAAATTCTTTAATTCGTTCTCATTTTCTGATCCCAGATCCACGATCGCGGTAAATGGACACTTTTCCTCTGTACACTGCTCAAAGCTCCGCGAGCTGTTCAAGAGGATAATTATTGCGCAAAAGTAATAAATGCAGGAACGATCCATTCTACATTGAGAACTTATGAAATACTAATGTTAAAACGGACAGTCGGTGTGTCAAGACTTCTACCGGATATTACAATCTGCAAGCAACCACTTCCGGTTTGTCATCTCAGAATCGACGTCATCTTGATGAAGGAGGGACTAGGATTGTAAAAAATAGATGCCAGTAAAAATGTTATTTTCCTTAAAATCCTTCTACTCCTACAGGAAACATGCGTATGATAATAATGACTGGTCGAGGTTCATAGATGAGAATTGATGAATAAAAAATGATTAAATTATTTTTTTCTGCGTGTTAATCAGACTATGAAAATTCTTTAATCAACCATACTTTGTTATCATATCAAATCAATTGAAGCATTAGCTGATGACCTCAGACACTTATATCGAAGACAGCTGGACCTATGAATTTTCAACCTCGCGTATTTTCAACCCCGTAATTTCAACTTCGTTCTTTCTACTTCTCGATCAACCATTATTCCCGTTTTGCCGTGTTCGACCAATCAGAGTTAACCTACGCAGGCAAATGTACTGTGGTTGAATTTTTGTGGGTGAATTATACTATATACTCGTTATTAATAATGAGTGGCCAAGTTACGATAAAAGAGTGATAAGCAGGAAAAGTGGTTGAGCGAGGAATGACGATAGCCAAGAAATGAAAAAAAATGAGGTCATTCAAAAAAATGAATTTGAAAATTTATCGATTGGATTTTAAACGACAAATTAGCATGATTTTAATTCATCCTTATCGATAAATGGAATCTGTAAAAGTTATGTACGGAAAGCAGGTAAATGAAACTGCGGCAATCATATTGTCATTTGATTCAAGGTATTATCGTCCTTTTATAAAATGTACATAAATATATGAAAACAATGTACATATGTTTTTATCACAGTAGTACCTAAAGTGTTGCAGAGCCATTGCTGCATATGTCCCTTGTCGAATTTGATGGGCACTAGCATATTGTAAGCCATCAGGAGGCAACCAACGTAACACATTAAAGTTTTTCCATGAATATTTCGTAATTCGGCAATCAGTGCATACACGAGAAAAGTAGCGAGAAGAAAAATTATGGAAACAATCATTCCCACCGGATAAATTGGGATGTCCGAATAATTTACAGCAACGTCCGTAACGAAGCATTCTTGTATAACGGATACATTGCTGAAAGTCGATTCCACCATGCAATAATACCAAGGCTTAACCATAGTATTTGCTTTCCTGAGCATTCCATCTTCTTGTAAAACAAATTTATCACTCGGATATTCATTTGGTTCCAGTAAATATTTATCATTTTCAGGACAAATCGGGTTCTCGAGAAAGAAGAAGTGATCTTCTAGACGAACGCTATGAAGAAGAGGATCCAGATCGTCCAAGGAAAATTGTATACCCTTGATGGTGCTCGATGGATCATTTTCAACGCACCTGGTACCATTGAAGATTTCACCAAATTTGCAACATCGTCTGACGCACTTTTTCGAACCAATCAAATCACAGGGACAGCCAAAAGTCTCGTTCCCATTGGTCCAATATGATCCTGGAGGATAGATAATTCCTCTGTAGAGTAAGGATCCATTTTGAAATTTGATTGGATCCTGCATAGTTACTGTCATGGCTTGAATGCAAGGAGGATCATCTGCGTCGGTAATCTCAATCACCTTGATAGTCATGATTATAATTATTTTAAAAAAAATCATCATGATGATTAACGATCAACTGTTCTAATGACACTTGAGTTCAAGAAATTCTTTATGCTTCTAACCACTTCATCATTCACAATTAATGGAGTCAACTGAAGAGTCTATTAGTTTTGTTTACATAACCAATATGAATCATCAGCACTTTCACAATTTTTGTATCATCTTTCTCAGTTTCACGATAACTTTTACACATCGTCAGTAGCCAAGTAGCACGAAAAAGCAATACGCAACGGCAGTTCGAGCAAAAATTACGCCCACCCATTAAGCCGCATGTAAAATAAGAGAGAATAATAAAAAAAAATGTCATAGACAAAAATCCTGAAAATCATTTGTAAGATGATGCTCGAAAATAATCTGCAAGCCGCTCGCGTCCACCACTGGTTGGTGTATTAAGAATACTAGTAATATTTTTAGTCAGAGTATAAAGCCCGATAAGATTTCGCGCCAGCGCAACAACCACAAGACTTTTTCTTACTGTATTTTAACCCTGTTGAGGCTCGCATGTTTCCTGATGCTAAAGACTGTTTAAACTCATAGGGCAACCACGTTAGCTTGTACCGGCCGCTAAGCAAACATCCTGCCAAATGATTTCACATAATCATTATCAGCAGGTAAATAGTGCCGGAATAAAAATAATACGTCCAAGACTGTTCCATGCACTGGTACAATAGTTTGTGACTGAAAAATGTTATTGAGCAATATAATCAAGATGAGATCAGCGCAAGACAATTATGATTATTGACAATGATCTATCAGTAAGTATCTATATGAAAATTTGAAAGGATCATATAAAATTGTTGTTCTAATTTCGCTATTGATATTTAGGCTGGATTTAAACCACCCACCGTCTGCAGATCTCTACATTACCGGTATAACATTGTTTACCTAGGGAGACGCAAAAGCCCTCCAGGTTCTCTAGGACGTTCTCTCCACCAAATTGGATCACCGCAAGAGCCATATAAGCTATGAAGAGCATGGCTATGTAAGCCCGGAGGGTCAGTCCATGCAGATTCTGCAAATCTGGGATGACAGTGTACACTACGAACGTGGCGGCCAGGAACGGCGTCGAGAGTATCATGGCGATAGGATAAAAGCTTGGTATGGTGTTCGCAGGTGGAAAACAAACTGCTACAACAGTCTGAGATCCATTTTCTCCAGGTAGCGAGGCAAAGCAGAAATCATCTATTTCCAGAATTCTATTAGGTTTTCCAGTACCACTGGAATCTTCATATATAGTGCCGTTGTCCAGGAAATAGAAGACATCGTAATTTGGTTGACCAGAGTCAAGAGCATAGCTACCGCTTGGACACGGGATGCCGTAGACCATTCTAAAGTCCAAGACGTTCTTATCCGATACCTCTAGATCTTTTGTGTACATCTGAGGAAACGTCAAATCGTCTGCTGGTACTGATGAATTTTCGTAACACGTCGTTCCACTTATGTACAGTCCCGGTGGACAGCAGATTGGTATGCATCCTCGAGCCTCCAGACGGCATCCTTGGATAGCGTCATCGTCCTGTTGCAAATTTCATAGAATTCTTAAGCACTCGGTACTCTAGCATGCGAATTTAAAACTCGTTATGTCCTCGAGAGATAAACGCCAAATTATTTTATACATTGACACAACTACATTTTTGAAGAATTATATAATCTCTGGTCGGTCCATGACTTTTTTAAAGATCGAAAAGGATAAAATTTCTAGCAAACCAAATGTGATTCTACAAAAAAATTCCTGTTACAAAGTATGCATATGCATGATTTTTTAGAGAAATATATTTCATATTTGTATTTTAGCACGTATTCCCGTTATTTCCCGAATAGCACGCATAATTTGCTAGAGATTACATTCTTTGCGAACTGTCAAATACTCGTGGATCGACTCTGCACGTATTACGACTCAATCGAATCTACCCTGATTAACCCAGCGCTAGTAACCTGCTCTTTACAAACAACCTTAGTCACGTAGAGTATTCAAGTACCCAAGTTTCCAATGAACGCTAATTTATATCTCTGGTTTCTTTTTATTATAAATTTCGTAGTCCATACTATCCACTGACCGTGTCCTTCAATTTAGTAATGAAATACGCAGTTGCTGGATACGAAATTGTGATCTGTGTCGAAACTTTAGTGACATATGAAAATAGGATCCCGAGGGTAATATATTAGCCCAAGGTCACTAGCACCAGGTTAATTTCGATGCTCCCACTTTCTCGTTAGACAAACGAAAGGCTATCCCTTCGTAAAGCAGCCAAACTCACTCGAATACGATAAATGACAAACCGATCATAAATTTTCCTTCGAATGCACAACGAAAGAAATATTTGACAGTGAAAAGAAAATCTCTTAATATTATTTAATCAATATTACCTTACCTGCTCATAATCTGATCTCTCACCGGTCACTGTACTTGAATCACTTAATTTCACTGATCCACAGGTCACCAATATCACAACGCAGATCAGGTGCAACATGTTCTCTGCTTGTTCACCGGCTCGAGACTGATCAGCAAAACCGGCTTATACTATAACGACGTACGGGAAAACCAGCTCTGCCACCTTCTCCGTAAAAGTTCTCACGATTATACATATATAAATGTATTATCATTGACACTTTATATAGAGAGTATTAGTATTAGTCGAGAGAGCGTCACTGGGTTGGGGCAATATATGTTCATATACGGAATGTAGTAAATATTAAAAATACATTTGTACGCCACTTCCTTCACGATACGTATAGTGAAACGATACTGCGTGCTCGTCAATTCTTGTAAATGATTCTTCTGTAATATCCATTCTTAGGATTTCGTTTTATCAGGAAAATCTTATCGCGATCGCTCGCGATAAGGGGACGATGATAAATATATTTTCGTTATAAATGAGCCTTTATACGGTTTACATAAAATATTATTTTTCAACGTTTAATATATATGGGATTTAAAATTTTTTTTTAAAATTAATTTTAAATCTCTATATCGACGGGTATCGATTACCCGATATAGATACACGAGGTAATTGACAGATCAAACGATAAATATTAACAATGATTTTTATCGAGTAATCTTATAATTTATAAAGCAGAGATTTTTGTCCGTTGCTCTTATTAATTTGATAGGATGGGCTCGATGAGTCACTGACCCATTTACAGTAATTAAATGCGTTATTGTTATTATTATCGTGACTTTAATTCAAAGTTGTCCCTACTGTCCGCATGTCATTCTATTCACGAATGCTTTGTTATCTCGTGAAGAATGAGTTAAAAAAAAAACAGTATATATTTTTCAACGAAATATGCTCAGTAAGTAATTTCGTCAGTGATGATGATGATGCGTGCAAGAATTTATTATCATTAATCCATCGTAGAGGAAAAAATATAAATTGTTATTAACCGCTTAGCAGTTTCCATTCTACACACCATAAGATGTCGGGTTAAAGATCATAATTTTACATGAGTTAGGATACGATATGAAAAAGTATTTACATTACGATCCATGTAACGTACTATGCTTCCTTAAGGTACATAACACTTTGCGGAGCCTTGAAAAAGTAAACACACTGACTATCAACATCTCCTGACAGCGTTGTTCGCGGCGGACGAGGGAACATCTTCGATGTCTCTTTTGCGTGCCACGAAATCTCACGCCTTCTTACGCCATTTTTTTTTTCTTTAACAGCGAATGGAAATAAGAATCTTAGATCTCCATTTTCTAACACGATATTTGTGATCATAGTCATATCATGTATAATGACTGATGAGATAAACGAAATGCCAATTTTTAATGGCCGGTAGCCTATCTTACCGTTTGGTTATCAGAGTAAAAATCTTTTTTTTTGTGATACGTAATCAAAATATCACAAAGCATCTGATCGCTGGATGCTATGTTAATTAATTCAAAAATAAATATAATTAAAGTACATAATTTTATATATTAAAAATGCTTGTATATGGGAGTGGCTAATGTATACAAAAGCGTGTTTGTTATTACTTACCAAAAGGAACGCAAAAGTTATCGGCAGTATGCAGCGATAGCTTTGCTACGACAAGGAAGCAATACGCCGAAATTAACGAAGCCACATAACACATGAGAGTTCGTCCATAAATATTCCTGAGTTCTGGAATGATAGCGTACACCAAGAAAGTGGCGACGAGAAAAGGCACAGACGTGATCATCCCCAATGGAAACAGAGGTTCAACGACAACAGCTGTTGCTCCTAATTCCGCGCAGACGAAAACGGTTATGTTGTTGAGATTTTCTTCCCAGTCCATACAGTATTTCGAATTCTGTATTTTGTCGCTTACTGTGGAGATACTGCCATTGATCTGGAGTACAAATTTATCCTCTATAAAACGTTCGGGATGAAGTTGAATGGATCCGTAGGGACAGTATCTGTTTTGAATGATATGAAACACTTGGGACAAATTAGATATCCCATGCAGTTCAGGAGCCATTTCCTGATCCTTTAATCTGAGCGCCGGTATGGGTCTGTTCATGGAAACACATTCAGCTCGATTTTCTCGAATGATCGATACTTGATCAACAGGACAACACTTCCTTACACAAAGGCTTGTTTCGCAGGGACAAGAAATGGTATCATTGTGAAGCAATAAGACATCGAGATCGTATAACGATCCTTCGTGATAAAAGGAACCATTTGCGAGGATACTGTATCCGTTTAAGGGTTCCATTAAAGTACGTGGGCATAATGCATTACCGTCTTGATACGACAGAACCTGCACCACTATCAGGAGATAGATTTTAAGTAACTTCATCTTATTCACTGCGATAACAACATCGCTCTCACGTTGCGCGCGACGGACTAGACTGTTTCGCCTCGTTCTTGACTAGTTTTCACGCGTTTAAGCATTTGTCCGCGACTCCTCCCTCGTGGCCACCTACAGTGACCATATCATTTTCTGAGCGTGATAAGATTTGGATAAACCAGCTTTTACCCGGGTCGGTTAGGTGGGATGTTACTTTATTCAACTACAGTAGTTTTAAACTGATCTACCGTTGGACTGGATTTTAACTTTGACTTAAGAGGTAAATGAACTCGAACCTATTCTTAGAAAATAATTTCATGAGTTACCATTAGCTCAGTAACGGCTGTAGTAACGACTGAAGAGATTTTAACCGCGTGAACGGAGTAATAGCTGCTTTAACTCACAGGTGGCAGCACTCTTCATGACGCTTTAGTATGTCAGACTCGAGCGGCGGAGAACACATGGGAATAATGTCTAGTCTATTTATCTCGAAAGAACGACAGCATCCGAGGATACTGTAATATCAAAAGTGCAAGCTCAACTTACAGTTTACTTGTGATCTCAAGATGTACCTCCAACCAGGGTAACGTAAGATACTAGAGTCTCTAGTATAAGGTATTATAGTGTAGTATAACGTGTAGCTTAAGTTTTCATGACACTCGATCCTTTAAGGAAAAATACCGACTTTTGACAATTTGTATTGCTTCCATCGTTCATTATCATAATACACTATTCTAAAACTCTCTTACATCGCAAGCATCATACTCCTTTGTCGTCTTAAAAGATTTGAGGTAAGGAGACATCTTTAAAATATAATTTGTTTGTCCAGGCCATTTTAAGTATTTAGATTTTTTTTACTAATGTCTGGATTGAAAAATCACATTTGCCTATTATTTCGATAATAGCATCGGTTAATAGACATGTTAATGTATGTTATAGAATTGTTTTGAATCTTGATAACTTTGACAAAACATCTGCCGGGCACGAACGACTTCAAGATGTTTGTTCAAGGATGGAATTTATACGTTATTTTTCTAGTGTTACATATGAAGGTTCGGAAGTAACAAAATTCTTACCTTAATGCAGCTTTATTAAATATTGTCTTTCTATTGGATCTTCTTACAATTAAGCTTATACTAATTTCACGTATAATTTCCAGTTTAAAGTAAAGATAATCATTGCGGCCATTATGTTTCTCTGTCATTTGATTATAACCCTACTACATAGCTAATTATTGGAATGACCATGAACATTCAGGAAGAGTATAACAATAGGTTATTGTCTCGTGCGGAGCTTTTCATGCGATAAGTAAGCATCACCCCGGGATTACGTCGTTCCCCTTTGAAAATCATGTCGTATTCACGTGGGCGTTGTGGGTTCACATTTGACGTGTAACTTGGCTCAAGCTCTATGGTTATCCCTTAGTTCAGCAAAAACTCTAATTTGAATAATGCGACTATGGATTTCTTATATGCCCCAGTGACGTTATACCGCGTGTACTTTATAACCTCTATAAACGTACAAATCTACAATCTACAAGGGTATTGATATAGAATTAACATACGGATCTTACACTTTTACCAGTCATCGATGTAGAGTTCAAGTCATGATATTAAAATGTTTAAAAATACATTACAAACACACACACACATGTTCATTTATATATTTTCACGTAACTCATGCATGAAAAACACTACTTTTCGTGCCTCCGAAGTGTGGCGAAAGTGGCACTTTATATCTATGGATACGATGAAAATGCTGCGCATGCGCAAATCGGCCCAATTTTACATTATCGCACTAGTGCGATAAAGTAAACTTTGTTCTCGCGCGCTGTCATGAAATGCATTCACTTTGGAAGCCTTCCTTGCTCTTCTTATGGCTGCCTCCTCCAACGAAGAGATGTTCCAGTCACTTTGGAGGCACAAAAAGTAGCGTTTTTCATGCATTCGTTACAGAAAATATTATGCGATACTGGTACAATAAAGCGAACATTATAAGCAGTTCGTGAAGTTTGTCACACTCGCCGCACTCGTAAAACAAACAGCACTCGCCTTCGGCTCGTGCCGTTGTGTTACTCGTGTGCGGCTCATGCGACCAACTTCATCGCCTGCCTATAAAGTTCGCTTTCTCGCACTTGTATCGCAAAGTACTATTATTTGTTTACGTTGATATGTCTTCATGGAAAATTTTTGTATTAAACATGCGAGTTATTCCTCAAGTAATGTCACACAAGTCGTAGCCTTGATATTTCCGACCTCAATTTCAATTGATTAAATATCAACGTGACTTTCCGTCGCTGCTTTTGTGTTCTAGACGACCAATTTACACACACCTTTTTCCAAGATAAAACATATTTTGAAATTTCTTTCATAAATCAGTTAGTTAATTCTGTAATATAACGAATTTTTCATAAGTACATCGTATTAATTCTAAACCAACTATAATTTTTACATTTGTGTTCGCAGAAAATCAGCAAGAATCATTTGATACATTTCGTCACGTCATATTTTTGTGGCAGGAAAAAGGATCTGTTGCCCGCGCTCTGCAAATTAGTTCCGCTACCGGCCGAATAGCGGCGACACTGTATATGTATACGGCAGCCGTATGAATAGCCACTGCGATTATCGTTAGGGATTCATACATACATATAAGTACGTCAAAATTAAGGAATCTACAGAGAAAAAGAGCTACGATGAAAATAAAGCAATGGAAAAGAAAATCGTGGATTGTCTTACATCTTAATATAGTTCCAAGTGACTAACGATACTTTCAAGACATTTAAGGTTATGGCATTACCAACTTTCAAGTATTTATTAACTCTTCGATCTTACGTTATTGAAACTTTTTCCAATTCTCAAGTTTATTTCATTGTGTCATCTTCTAGCGTCGTGGAAAAGCTCATAGGGTAAGATTTAATTTCCTTCTGCTAATCAATTCCGTAGAATCGTACGTCGATGCTTGTTTTCTTTTTGACGCGAACTCGAGATTAACATTTACGCTGGTAGAAAGTGACTTACCAGATAACAGGTACCAAGTGTGAAATAAATTCCCTCTTTAATCTTAGTTAACGTAACAAAAATTTACGTGGAACAAGCTTAAGTATTATTTTTATTCACACTTTTTTTTCTTTCTTTTTGACGCAACTTAAATTCACGTATTAAAATCATACGCAGTGCGTCAAAGTTTTTTTATCTATGTAAAATAATCCGTAGAATTGAGCTCAAGTGTATTTCAAGCGTTTACTGTACGTAGTAATATTCTGTATAAATATCAAGAGATATCGACGTTGAAAAGGAAAAACCTTTTGGGTCAGACGTGCATTACTCACTGGACAAAAAGGCCAATAAAAAAAAATAAATATAATTCCCAAGAGGTGTTATTCTGTGTTAACTACAACGTCCGTGCTTTTACTCTTACTAGACTCTTAGTGAAGCTTGCCCCACGCCGGGGACTGGAAAATGGATGAAAGTTAGGTCAGTCTAAAAACTCAAAGTTACATTTGTCCATGAAGCAAAAATCAACATTGATACAATTTTTTTTTTCTCCACACGTTATACCAGTTCGCAAATAAGAATTAAAAAAATTGTATTATTTCACTTCCATTCTCAACATTAACTTACCGTACTTTACGTACGCTTTAATGAAATTAAAATTGAAAAGCTTTCATTTACGAGCTTGAAGGATCCTTTTATTCTTACGTCAATAAAATTAGATCACGTAAGTTTTTACCAGGAAACTGCCACAAACAAAAACACGGGACTATTTTACATAAATACGCTGGTGACTTTAGAGTGAATTTTTATGTCAAAAAATCAAGTATTGCCAACTCTAAGCGTAGCAAGAAGCTGTTGGTAACGCTGAACATTTGTATAATTAATAGAATTTGCCGCCCCCGTTATTTCAGGGTGTGAAATTAATGATACGCTTGAAAAATGCGTTAGCGGCTTTGAATACTAGAATGATAATATATGTTAGTATGTTGTGAAAAAAATTTATTTTTACCTGATAAAGGAGTTAAACGTGAATTTTAACGTCGTGGTGTAGTATTGATTCCCCTGTTGCTTTGGTGGCTTACAAAAATCGAAATTGATGAATGAATTGATATGTCATTTTTTCTGATCGTAGTTTCTCACCCTCCGATAAGGCTCAAGAGAATTATATCCCGAAATTGAATTCTGTTATTCACTTCTACGGTATCTGGCATTATGGTATTTGGCAAATTGGTTCTATTATACTAATCAAAGAGACAAATTACTAACTTTAGATGGTGCATATGACTTGATCAACCCTGTATATAAAATTTACGGTTAACTAAAACCATGAAAAACAAACGAGGGTTGTTTTTCGATCACGATGCTATTTTAATTTGGAAAAAAAAATTTTAGTTAACAGAATCTCAGAATGCATATTCCTTGTGAAATTAATGAAAATTCATTTTGAAATGTGTCAACTGATTTAAAAATCATTTATTCGTTTTCAATACTCTTTTATTTTGTTTGTTGCAGAAATACAGAAAAACCTAAGATTCAAGAAAAATACAGGTAAATTGAAAATTTTGTTTCCATATCAATCAATTCTATATGTCTAATTATTTAATATTATGTTTAGGAACGTCAGGTAGAATATGGATGGTAGTGAATGGCAGGCATTATCGCAGCTATCTACTTCCCCAAGTTATTCTAGAACCCAGAGTGGCATTTTTCGTATGCAATCTAAACACTTTAGATGGCATCACTTTCAGATCCAGCAGATGTTTAAAAGGGACAATACCCCATAGAGAAGTATATCCGATGGACAAGGCCAAGCGAGCAAGCTAGTGGATGGATGGATGGATGGATGGACTATCGCAGAATTAGCAGGAGGGGGTACGAAATGGTACCAAGGGTAGGGGGTGTGTTGTAGGTTGCTCTTGCGTGAGAAACCTTCGTCAGTAGCGTCGTTGAGCGTCGCGGTGCGCATCCGACTCGGTTACCACCTTTGTTCGTTGAATCGCAAAAATCATCTCACTGCCAGCCAAGTATAAGTGACTTTAATCCTCTAACAACCCTCGTACGGAAAATTGCAAGTGGACCGTGAGTTTTATTGTAATTGAATTAAATATTTTGTTTACGTGCAAGTTCCCTGTCAATTACTCTGGCACAAAGACGGCAGTGCGTACAAAATTTGTTTCATTGTACGTTGAACTATAGTCGAAGGTAAGAAAAAAAAATAAAGTGTGATTCGTTTGTACGCGAAAAATGTGATCGTTTGATTCGACAGAAAAATGGATAATTAATTTTTTTAATTAAGAAGATCCATTTCCATTTAACTGGGCATCCGGCGATACTTAACCATGTTGTGGTTATGATTATAATTTTGCTGTACTGCTTTTCTTATTATCTCATTAAATGACTAATTTTGCAAGTAATTAACGATCAAATCGTGGACGTAAGAAATTTTTTGAATAATTTTGTTAATTAATCCTTATGGTAAAACGAGCATCTGATAAATCGCCATAGTCTTAGCCAGCTCGGATGTAAGGTACGGTGTTATGTAATTTATGAAGACTTGTGTTACATGAAAATTAAACAAGAGCCAATCAGTTGTTAACAAAGCTTAATATTCTTTGTTATATCGATATTCTTCGAATTTATTTATTACTTTTGACAGTTCCATAGCAGCTATTGTAATTGATATTACTTTTGTTCTGATGATACGTAATTAAAATTTTTTATTAACTGCGCTCGTGATAGTCTAATTAATATATCACGAATAAGCGAAGATCTATAGTTTGAGTTGAAGTTGGTGAAAAATTTTATCTCTAGATATACGCAATCGTTAAATTTTAATGACTTCAAACTATTATCCACAGTGTATAAGTGAAAAGTTTGCCGTCGTTAGGAATCGCTTCCCTCCCAATTTGTTTTATCTTCTGCAATTTTTTTTGCTCCTTAAATACGTTTCGATCCCCGTAAACTCGATGAACGTTCTCGATCGAAGCATCGACGTCCGACAGACCGGGCGAGCACTTCCGCAATTTAACCGTCTAACTACTGGAAAGTGGTGGCACGTCGGCGTGGCATTTTCATACAGTCGCCAAGATTTCTACGTTGAAGATTCCCAAAGAGCAAGTAAGAAAAAAGAACTAGGACGTCAGCAGAGATAAACGGCTGAAGAACTTTGATACGCTTTTATATTCGAATTCGAGAAGGGAGTAAAAAAGTTTACTAGTAAAAATAATCGACATCCCATATATTGACGAATTTATGTAAATGACATAAAAAATTTAAGTATCCTTGAGAATACAAAAATATTTGGTATTTATTGAAATAATTTTTCATTGGAAATGCATATATTCGTAGTAATATTTATTATGATTGCGTGCAATCGCTCGAATATATATAAAGTTGGCGACGTAGATACTTTTGTGAAATCGACTAGTCCACAGTAGCTCCAGACTGTTCGAAAATATACAAATAACTAGAAGTTATAAAAGTTTCAGATACTGAATGGAAATTCAATTTTCTACCTTACCTACAGATAAAATTCACTATTACCGATCGACTCGTCGAATGTTATACTTGAGATCGAAGGTTCCCCATTTAAAAGTATTTCCAAGTAACTATGGCACAATCAGTTTTCTTGTAACGTCTCTTACCTGAGAGATTCGTATCCGTATTATGAAATAAGAATACAAATTTTACTCTCGCATTTCAATTACGTTTTATGTGCGTTACTATACAAAGTACTAACTAGCTACTACGGTAGCCGCCACTTTGCCACTTTGCGTGTACATACACATGTAGCCGCGTCAATCGGGAAATCTTTATTGCAGTTTACACTGTGTTTATCAGGGTTACCAACATAGTAGTAACCTTTCTCGATTATAGGATGATCCTTTGCGCTAAAGCTAAACGTAATAGATTCTCTCGTATTAAATCGATCGATCCGCTAGTAACGTGTCCTCTGTAGTTGATAGAGAAATTCACCCTTAAGATAAATCCATGAAATACAAACAACATAGATGAGCAACTGAACAGACCATACATTTCAGGTTAAATGTATGTACAAGGTTTCCCATTAAAATAAAATACATCTTGGAAAGTAAGGTCAGTACCAAAAAAAAATGTAACTTTTATTTAGACAAATCCTATCATGTGTGATTATCCGGGTTTATCGTAAATTATGATTAAGTAAACTAAAAAAAAATGTATATTTTCATTATTTCCGGGTTTTCGTCCTTCAAAACAAGGCAAAGCTTTGTCCGTTGGAAGTGCTAATGATTTGAGAACGTTACAGAAAGTACCAGTGCAAATAATGCAGTTGACACCACCGTTGACAACTTGGAATAAATACTCTAATTTTTTGAGTAAACAGTAATGCGATTTGCAGATACAACTAAGAAGCAAAACTTGTTATCGAATGCATCTGACTATAACGGCTACGTGAATGCTCGTACTGTCGCTCCTATATTTTTATACTGGTACCGAGACATTCTATTTTTTTAACTTTTCACTTTACGGAGTCATAACAGTTCAAGATAGATCCATTATATTCTACATGATATGATTAGTCTAAATACAACTGCGACTTTAGTCTGACAAAAAAGTTTAATTGTCTCAGAAATTTCTAGGTTGTGGCGCCATCTACAACCGTAACGATATCGTCACATCGCGTCCCTTTTGACAGCTAACTTTTGTTCTATAAATAATTTCTCACGGGGTTTAGTTTTCCAGACTTTCAATTGTGAATTTTAGAATTAAACATCTTGTTATAAATCTATTACAGATTAATTTAAGACTGTCGATTCAACCTACGTGAATATTTATTATCCAAAGCAAATATATATCATTGACATTTACCTTGAAATTCTACCACTGGAACATGTTTATTATGTGCATACAAGATACAATGTATCATATTTCTCTATTATTATTTTTCATTCCTTTTTTCTCCATTGTCACTGTCGACATATTTAATGGATACATCCAAATACATTTTCTTCGCCATTCCCACTGCAGCTATTTATATTTTCACTTTAGCCAAGCAAAATGTTGTCTTGACAATCCGCTTACCATTCCCTACCGACAAGAGATTGCAGATGGTTGATGTCATTTTTTATGAGACAAATCGCCTAAATGGAAACGCAGTCAACTATATGTATACGAACTATCAGTGCCATCTATTGAATTTTGTGTAAACCGGGTACTGTCACGATTTCAATAGAGCCATCTAACAATCTGGCACATCTCCTCATTGGAGGAGTCAGCCATAAGGAAAGGAAGGAAGGAACCATCTAACAATAAGCTTTCTTGTTCTCTATAACACATTAAATATAATTCTAACGTAAGACTATATGAATCAGGTTGGATATTTGTCGCTAAACTTAGAAGCTCTACTCGCATCTATAGGCTGAGTATCCAGAGCCGATTAAACCGTAAGTCAATAATATTTGTTGTTTCATAACTTTCTCGTGTTTACGAGATTGGGGAATAATACGCAGTATAAATAAATGGTAGGTATCGTGGATTCAATAAAGTTAATTGTGCTTGGCTTAGATATAATAAATTTTCACAAGTATATTTTTATTGTGTAATAATAATAACGGGACATATATATAAATCCAATACTACGTATGCCATATGACAACTTGTATAATAATCCTTGTCTGTGTAATATGAAAACATGAGTATTATGGTGTATTACCTTTTATTATATATAGTAATATATCGAACTGGCAGTCCAATGTCCTTTATGGTAATATCTGTTATACTGCTACATTATTATGGATGATGGTTTACACGATTTTTAACTGTTCGATAGTAACCGATAAACTACTCTATCGATAATCACTGCCATTATCAGTCGATATGATTAAAATTAAAAAAAAAAATAAACATTTTCATTCCGACGTATTCTCCCTCGTGGTCAATCTCTTTGCGAATTTCGTATACATAACAAAACTTCAAATCGAAATAACGAAATGTCGAATGCAGTCGAATGCTTCGGAAATCTTTCTACGATCATGCTCTCTTGGAAAGGTACACTCCCATGGGGATCGTTTTATCTCATGGTGACACGTTAATCTCATGGATGGCAAGCTTCCGGAAAAGAAAAAGAAAAACAAGAAGGGTGACTTATCGTCGTGCCAGTGAATGCAACGAGAAATTTATCAAGATTTAAGGATTGGAAAAAAGGTAAAAAAAAAGGAAAGAAATTACAAAATTATTGACTTTCAACTGTAATCGTGTTCCAATTTTCATAGGCTTTGTTGAATCTCTGACCTGTTAGGATCTGTGTGAAATATTTTGAAATTTAAGGAAATGAAAAGTGGGATTTGATCGAAGGGTCTTTTTTTATATTTGGATCTCTCTGATGTCCTTAGTGTCTTAACATCCCGTAAAGGGCCACTCCTTCGCGCGATTATCCTGCCAAGGATAATCCTTCACCTCTTTCCACGGACCAAAGGAAAAGCACGGGACTTGCGTAACATTGCTATCAAAACTGTAACACGTGTTGAGTGACTTTGCTTGTAACATTTTTTATTTGACAACGTCAACCCAAATTTTCGTATTGTTTTGGCAAAGCTTTGTCGAACTTGATACAAAGTCCTGACATTGTTCTGTAACGTGACAGCAACGTCGACGGTTGTTAGTAAGGTTATTATTATCGGCGTGATTAGTATCAACCGCGATTAGGAGATTTTAAATTTCTCAATTGGGACATGAGAATTCAATGTAAAAATTCACTCGAAAAACATGTAGCCGGTTAAGTAATTCTAAAACGTCAAACTTTACGATACCGAAGATAGTATAAGAAAGTTATAAAAAGAAAATATCTAAAAACTAACATGAACGAGACTAGGGGTAGATAATATAAAAGTTTCACAAATTTGATATAATTTCAAATTTTCATGGCATTCTGTCAGCGGCAAGTACGTGAGCGTCGGGGTCCCCCAGGTGGGGCCACCTACACCGCCATCTGTCAGTAGAAGACGGAACTAATATTTCTTTGAAGTATAACCTTTCAAAAGGAGATAGACGGAGGCGCGGTGTTTTAGCGTTACGAAGAAGCGTAGAGGATTTTTTTAAGATAAAATCAATTATAGTCATCCTTCTGAAAATAAGCTTTCTTAATTGGATATTGAATAGTAAAACGATACCTAAAGGGAGGAAACGATACTTAAAGGATTCTAAAAATAAAAAAATATAATTTA